AAACGAAAAATCGAATAAATATTATTCAAATAAATAATCGAAATAGAGTAATTAAAAATGAAATAAATAATATACATAATTAATGAAATATTTAAAGAATAAATGAAATTGAATAATATTTTTTGTACTTCATCAATTAAGATAATTAATTAAAGAAATTGTAAAACGAAAAATCGAATAAATTTGTAAATAATATATATATATATATATATATATATATATAGTCAGATAATTAACGAAATATGATTTTTAAATAAATATTAAATAGTCAAATATGTGGAAATTTTTTTATTAAACTGTTTTAATATGTGATTAGATGAATTTATTTATTGGTTTATTAATATGAAATTTGATTGGTTAAATTTGAAGGTACGATATTTTATTTAAAATTTCTTTTATATGGTTTTAACATGTATTAATTTGTAGGATGGAATATCATATCGACAACGATCTGAGGGCTCATTCGGGAAAAGTTACGACGTATTGTAACTTTTCCAGCTATGCGACAGTACTTGAGGGGCTGGACGAGGAGTATATTGACTTACTCCGTCGATCGTTTTTATGGTCGTTCTATCCGTTGAAGGACGTGCAGTTCTCTGGACAGATTGTTGATTCTTTATTACTCCGGCTGCTTAAACCAGTCGATGGCGATCAGTTATATTTTGCTATGGGGGACGGGAAGGTATGTAGATTCTCGATCCTTGAATTTGCCCTGATTACGGGCTTGAGATGTATCGGGGAAGAAGAAGCTAGAGCCCGTATTATACGAAATAAAAGGTTATTGGATTTATATTTTGGAGGTAAAGGGCCAATTACACCACCACAGTTAGAGGACGCATTTAGGAAATGCAATCACATGTTAGACAAGTTGAAGTTAGGGTTGGTGTATATACTGGAGAGTATATTGAGGTGTCGACATCGTGGGACGTCGATTGATCTTTTTTCATTGGATGTTGTTGATGATATCGATGCTTTCAACAGTTTTCCATGGAGTCAGAGATGTTACCCCGATACTCTCCATGTATTCAGAAGGGTACACACTATGTCGAAATCGGAGAGGGGCGATCGCAAATATGATGTATATGGCTTTTGCATAGCTTTGCAGGTAAATATTCAGTGTAACGTAATGCGTGTTGAACTTTTTTATTAAATGTATATGTAAAGTTTTATTTTGTAATTGTTGCAGTTGTGGGCATATGAGGCTATCCCTGCTTTGGGTAGCAAATGGGCGATCAGAAGGGAGACCAGCTGCCCACGAATGCTTCATTAGCGAGCACGTGAAAAGCCATCGGCTAAAGATTTGACAGTTATCCTCGACGATCCTCAGGTGAGTATTATATATTTGCAATTTATATTGTACATACATTTACTCGGCTCGATACATGTTCGTTAACACGTTGAAATATGGTATGTCAGCTCGAAATTCATGCTGAGTTGGTTGTCTCGGTGGAAGAGGAGGATGCAATATATGTACGTGAATTACTTGTTCCACCTACTGAAGACGATCCAGTATTTGAGTCCGTTCCGGATAGAAATATAGTACGTTTATTTAAGTTCATTATTTATTTTGACTTATAAATTCATGTGTGGATTATTAATATTAATTGTCTTCTCTGTGTAGGAGCGCCATCCGGAACTTCCACTTAGGAGATCTCCTTCGCCTCCACCGATGAGATCTCCGTCACCTCCACCGATGAGATCGCCTCTACCGCCATTATCTCATTCTCCGAGGATATCTCCGTCTCCCGTACCCACCCACCTCCCACATGGATTGCCTACACCCAGTCAGACCCGTCGTTCAGATGATTTCTTTGCATGCATGACTGGCATTATTAGAGAGGAGTTGGGAACGATGCGACGTGATTTTATGACAGAGGTAGTCGCATTACGAGAGGAGATAGGGGTATTGCGACGGGATTTTACGACAGAGATCGTCGCAGTACGAGAGGAGATAGGAGTGCTGCGACGAGATTTTACGACAGATGTAGTAGCTTTGCGAGATGAGATTGGAGTGCTGCGACGAGATATAGGAGACCTTCATACTGAGGTTGCAGCACTTCGAGGCGATGTAGCAGGCGTCCGAGGGAATGTCGGGGAGACTGGTGTCCCACGAGATTGGTGTGCAACGGCCGGGGGAATTGATGAGTTTTTTGGTTCGGTGCCGAAGGCCGAGAGGGAGGGGGTGGAGGTCGGGCAGGAGGAGCCGGAGGAGGCCGGGATGCCCGGGGTGGAGGTCGGGCCGGAGGTGCCGGAGGAGGCAGAGATAGAGGGGGTGGAGGGAGGGACAGGGGTGGCCGAGGAGGTAGCGGAGGGGACATCAGAGGTGGTAGTAGAGGGGGATGATCAGGTTGCGGAGGATGAGAGGACGCCGGAGATGACGGATGACGAGGTCGTATTCGTGTCCGAGGGGGCGACGGAGGTCCCGAAGGGTAAGAAGCGTGCTGCTGACGCGCCAAAGCTGATGGTCGGTAAGAGATCAAGATTGCCGTCACAGTACGTCATTTCTCCCTACACGGTCGAGGCGAAGAGAAGGGGATTTGTGGATGGGGCGTACCCCAATCTTTTTCGCGACGTCGACCCAGTCAGACAGAAGGCGTTCGATGATTGGTTCAAATCCCTTAAGTCCGAGTAAGTATTTTATGATGTTGCTACTATTTTTTTGTATCTTTGGTAACTGTTTTTTCATTTTTCAGAGATAGTTATACCATCGGCTGTATGACCGTGCCCAATGCTAAAAAGTGGTTTGAAGATGTACTGACGATCTCAGCTTGGCTCGCTGATGATGTAAGTTTTTTGAGTTTTCGTTTATTATATTTATACAAGTTGTTGGTTCATTTACTTAAATGACTCTATCTTTTTTGTTGGTGTTTTTTTTGTTTCAGCATATCGACTTGGCTATGGAATTGTTACGCGATCGGGCGCGGAGATACCCGAGATCTTATGACAGTCCTACTCGAGTTATCTTGAGCACTGAGTTCGTTCGTGTCGTAGATATTGAGCATCAGGAGCTCCTAAGCAAGGGGAATGATTATGTTCTGTCTGAGTACATGCTGGAGTGGGTGATTGGATTACAGTTGAGGTGCAGAAAGCCGTGGACGGATTGTATACATATGTACATTCCAGTTATCGCGAACTCACACTGTTTTTCGGTGGAGATCGTATTTGCTGATTCCACCATATATGTGTACGACTCTAATCATAGCTGTCTGACACAAAGTCAACTGGAGCAAATACTGGAGCCATTGGCTGTGATCGTGCCCATGATAGCTAGTCATGCGATAATTCGAGTAAATGATAGATTAGCCATTGTGCGGAACACGACGACGGCGAGACAAGAAAGATCGTAAGGATTTACAAATTTTAAATTTTCAGATTTAATTTTCAATTATATGTTATGGAACTAATATCTTCTACTTCGGTTGCAGGGGTGACTGTGGCTTATTTGCAATCAAGTACATAAAGTTCTTGAGCATTGGTCGCAATGTTGATACAATAAATCAGTGTTGGATTGATATGTGGAGGCATAAATTAGCTTGCGACTTGTATGAATATAACTGTGATCCTTAGTACATTGTAAATTATTTTATTAAAATGTAAATGTTGTTTACATCAGTAGGATTCGTGTTGTACTGAAAGAAATAAATAATCGAAATAGAGTATTTTGTATGATATTATTTTGAAAATTTAAATGATAATCGGGAATTAAATGGACTAAATCGGATGCAATTGAAAAAAAAATGACCGATTCATGTAATATTTGGTTCGAAGAAAGCTTTAAAAATTTTGGGGACCTAATTGCAACTTTTTAATAGTTGATTCGAAACATAAAACGATAATCGAGAATTAAGATAATTAATTAAAGAAATAGTGAAACGAAAAATGGAATAAATATTATTATTTTTATTCAAATAAATAATCGAAATAAATAATATACATAATTAACGAAATATGTAACGAATAAATTAAATTGAATAATATTTTTTTTACTTAACCAATTAAAATAATTACTTAAAGAAATAGTAAAACGAAAAATCGAATAAATATTATTATTTTTATTCAAATAAAAAATTGAAATAAATAATATACATAATTAATGAAATATTTAAAGAATAAATTAAAAAACAATATTTTTTTTTTACTTAAACAATTAAGATAATTATTTAAAGAAATAGTAAAAGGAAAAATCGAATAAATATTGTTCAAATAAACAATCGAAATAGAGTAATTAAATATGAAATAAATAATATATATAATTAACGAAATATGTAACGAATAAATTAAATTGAATAATATTTTTTTTTACTTAAACAATTAAGATAATTACTTAAAGAAATAGTAAAAAGAAAAATCGAATAAATATTATTCAAATAAACAATCGAAATAGAGTAATTAAATATGAAATAAATAATATATATAATTAACGAAATATGTAACGAATAAACTAAATTGAATAATATTTTTTTTACTTAACCAATTAAAATAATTACTTAAAGAAATAGTAAAAAGAAAAATCGAATAAATATTATTCAAATAAACAATCGAAATAGAGTAATTAAATATGAAATAAATAATATACATAATTAACGAAATATGTAACGAATAAATTAAATTGAATAATATTTTTTTTATTTAAACAATTAAGATAATTACTTAAAGAAATAGTAAAAGGAAAAATCGAATAAATATTATTCAAATAAACAATCGAAATAGAGTAATTAAATATGAAATAAATAATATTCATAATTAACGAAATATGTAACGAATAAATTAAATTGAATAATATTTTTTTACTTAAACAATTAAGATAATTACTTAAAGAAATAGTAAAAGGAAAAATCGAATAAATATTATTCAAATAAACAATCAAAATAGAGTAATTAAATATGAAATAAATAATATACATAATTAAGGAAATATGTAACGAATAAATTAAATTGAATAATATTTTTTTTACTTAACCAATTAAAATAATTACTTAAAGAAATAGTAAAAGGAAAAATCGAATAAATATTATTCAAATAAACAATCAAAATAAAACACATGATTAACGAAATATTTTTTTTACTTCACCAATTAAGATAATTAATTGAAGAAATAGTAATATCTCCATATTGTTAGTTAATATATATCGTTGTCTCACTTATTTTAAAAGAAAACAAACAAATACATGACACATAGAAAATACATATGACAAATGTGATAAAAATAAAAAGAGTAATTAAACAATGTGATAAAGATTACATCCGATTTCAATTCAGAAAATCACAAACACATGACAAATAGAGAATACATATGATTTATATAGATACTACACATCCGTCAAGTCATTGTTTAGTGGGATCTGGCTTGTACAAAATCGACGTGTATGTCCTGTAGCGCCACACCTCCCGCACTTACGCGGTTGTGGAAACTCTCCTGTACATGGTATTCTAGACGTCCGTCTACGACCAGGAGTACACGGTGGAGTTTCAGGTGGCAACAAATTATTAAGTGCTACAATATAATCAGGAATTTCCCACTCGGCTTCATTTGGTAGAGGAAATATAGTTTCGGCATACGCTGCTCTCCAAAAATCAGTCATATAATAATATGACTGCACAAGCTGTGTGGTGAAAATTCTCTATACATAGCCACTGCGACAGCATGTGCACATGGAAAACTTTCCAACTGAAATTTTCTACACGTGCACGTATTGTCATTCAAGTCTACAATATATCCAACATTACGCCTGCATCTCACGGAGAAGCGAAATTGATCTAGTGGTTCCACAAATAGAGCTTTTGCCACTTCCAGAGTTTTGAATAGTCGATCTTCCTGTGCCAGAGCTAGCACACTCGTGCAATTTTGGGATTCTTCACGTCGGTCATAAAACCACTGTTGCAACTTGCTGCGAATATGTTCAATCATTGCGAGAATCGGTAACTCTCGATCCTTCTTGAATAATGCATTCAGCGACTCTGCATTATTCGACGTCATCATGTTGTATCGACGTCCTGGAAAATGTGACCGTGCCCAATGTTCGACCCCATATCTGATAGATATTCCCATGCACTTTCTGATTTATGTTCTATTTCACCCATGAACTTTGTAAACTCTTCAAAGCTGTAAGCTTCTGCAGCTCTCCTAAACAATGCAAAGATGCCACTGCCCCGGTACCTAGTCTTCAGATTGCCCTGAATGTGGTACATGCAATAATTATGACGTGCTTCTGGAAAAACTTCGGCTATACCATTTATTATTGACTGCCCCCGGTCAGTCACAAATGCAAGGTTCTCGATGTTCCCAATTACTTCTCTCAACTTCGTGAAGAACCAACGCATTGCTAGATCATTCTCTCCATCGACAATGCCAAATGCAAGAGGGTAAATTTGGATATTGGCATCTTGACAAGTAGTAATAATCAATCTTCCTTCATATCTAGCTCTTAGGGTTGTACCATCAACTAGAATTAGAGGTCGCATAGCATTTCGAAAACCTCTAATGCATTGTCCAAGAGTCATAAAAAAATACTTGAAGCGATTCTGCCCATCGGTTTCAATAAAAAACGTCGAATCAGAATTAGTTCTCACCATGTTGTGGCAATACCTGGCCAATTTGGCATAACTCTCCTCTGTCGAACCGATTAAATCTTCCAATGCACATTCTTTAGCCTTCCAGGCCTTCTGGTAACTCATAACCACCCCATACTCTCGACGGATGTCGTTGATGATATCTGTAGGTCTGTAAATCGTCCGTGGATCCTGAAACTTGTGCATTATCTGTCGACCAATAAACCATGATCGAGCTTGCCTGTGATCATTTTGACGAATACCCACTTCACAAGTATGTTCCCGCGCATACTTACGAACAACAAAGAACTCATTTGTGTCCATCTTTGTCGCACTCAAACGCCAACTGCAATTGTTGTCCACACAAATAATTGTGTATGTAGACTTATTTGATTTTTTTACCTTAAACTCAAAATTATGTTTCATTGCAATTCGGTGCGCGGCTTCTTGCAAATCTCTTTTCGTGTCAAACAATTGATCGACATGTAAATCTTCATCATCAGGAACTACACGCGAACAATTAGAAGACCGTGTACTCGGCCCAGCATGTGAGCTCCCACCAGACTCATATCTCTGTCTAGATAAAGCAATCAAATCCTAATTTGTAATGGCCTTTCATCCTCGTTATCTTGAACTTTCTCGTAAATCCTTTGTGTAACGGTGACATCATGGTGAGTAGCAACTGCCCTAGGAATAACCACATCATCTTCCCGAGCAATCTCAACAGTATCCCAAAAATCATTCTCATTACGATCCTCTCCATCAAAAACTTCGTGTTCACCCTCGATGACATTTTTCTTCAACAAACTTACGCAAATAGGAGTCGTCTTTCGACCTTGGTTCAATTGAATTAGATGCTTTATTTGCACTTCAGAAGTAACTTTCAAAGGTGGAATCGAAATTGTTGAATGCTTTTGAAATAAAAATCCCAATTCCATATCGTACTGAGAGGAATCGACGTTAAGCATGTTTTGTATTTCACTGTACATTTCTGTAAACGAAGTATTTTTTGTTATCGAAATAGCAGCAACCCCTTCTCCTTCACTCGTCCATTTCCATTCCCATTGACCATTTTCTTTCCTTTGAAATTCGCCGAAATAACAGATTGGGACACACGCTTTTGCCATATCTGCATTACGAATTAAAAATATCATAACAAATTATCAGAAATAAAATTATCAGAATCGAGGGGCGGGGGAGTCTGCAAACGGACCGTCGGGACGGTCGACGGTCCGGACAATCCGGACCGTCGTTAAATCCGGCGTTCCGGCGTCTGATCGGTGCCGGCCTGAACTTTGGCTCTAATATTATTTTTTCTACTATTTAAAAAAAATATACGACTTCAATAAAAATAAAATTAAATACTACGAAAAGATACTTACCGAATTGAAGTGCTGAAATTTAACTAAATTTTTCTGTTGAGGTTGATAACTGATAAGTTTATGAAATTTTGAGGTTGAAGTGGATGAAAAATGAAAGAGTTTTTATTGTGTTAGAGTAAACTGATGAAAAGACTGACTTCGTTTTCAAATTTCAATTGAGACTTGTTTGGATTTTTATTTGTAACTTAATGATATTTTTGTCTTTTTACCATATTTCTATTTTTGTAATTATATAACTCATTTAAGGGCGTTTTTGTCTTTTACACAAGAAGTGGCTATTGTGGTGAATGTTAGATTTTTATGGTTAAAATGGAAAATGGTTGGTTTGACAGAGCCAAACTTAAAAGTACCCCCTACTGTTAGAGGCTCGGCTTCATGATCCAACCCATTTGATTATTATGTACCGTATTGGGTAGAAACTTGAGCATCTTGGTCCAATTATACGACAAGGCTACAGTTGACGGCCTGCTGTAGCCCAACTCATCCTGCAATGGCCCAATATGTGGAAATACCCTCAGGTATGCAAATAGACCCCAGACTTGGGACGGGATGCCATCCTTAACCCCAGTAGAGTTATTAGGGTTGAGTAAAAAATCCTAAAACTGTCGAACTGAAAACCAAAATTGTGGTTTTGAAATCATTGTTGGCTTTACATGGGCACGTCAACGTTTTGGGCCAAATCGTTTAAAAACGATTTGGTTTAAGTTTTTAATAGTTTAAAATTACTTAAAAGCAAATCATTTATCCGAGTAATAAAAGAACTTGTTTAACAGTACCCGACATATTTGATTTATATGTACTTTTAAACAAATTTACAAGGGCTCGTTTAATCTAAACTAATATTATGACACGTTTTCTTAATCTATTATTATCCAACTACTTTATATCAACTCAACAACGACGCATCTCCTATTTCTAGGTTGTCATAAGCAAATTTGGTAAACTTAGTTAGGCTTCTGCATTCAAAATTCATTGAATGCCGGGCTCCTAGTCCATTGCAAGCCAAACTTCAACCCCAAAAGTCGTGGATTAATCCATTTTGCCTTCGATTGTTGGTCAATTCATTGGAATGTTGCTTGTGCCCACGTATTTTCTAGTCCTTTGTTCAGGTTTTTTTATGCCAAATTCTTAAATAGTACCCTGACATCATTTCAATCACATTTTTCATTAAAATAATATTACACGTAAATTCAAAACTTTTCCTTATTTTTTAACCACGCATTTCTCATAAATACACTATTGAAATATGTATTCTTATGAAAATAATGTGAGTCAAACAAGTGCATAGTAAAAATTATTGCTACTTGTACGTAATAATATTAAATTGAGAAGCGATCGTGAGAATATCATGACAGCAAAGATGTGTAGGAATATCAAAATAAAGACAATTGATCTTTCTCAACATCATGTTAAAAGTTGGCCGCTGAGTCCATTGAGACTAAAGGTTATATTTATATATTTGTTCCAAGTGAGCAAACAGTTCAAAAAACTTCGGATTTGATGAAGCCAAACTGGGAATAAGCAAATATTTGATGAAACAAAATCTCAACACAGTGTTTCTAATTTGTTTACTTTTGCTAGAAACAGTTGGAACTGAAACACCGTTTGGCTTTACAGGCCTAAAAACTTAAACTAGAGAACAACACGGGATGATAGAACTTGGTGCCTTCACTGGAGTATTTGGCTGCCATAGTCAGCATTAAACTTGTCATAGCGATGAGCAAGGAGATGCGCAGATGGTCTAGTGTTGTTCAAAGCCATCTCAATGTCTCCATGTGTAATTGGACCAACTTTGGGCAACTCTGCATGCCAATCACAACATATTAGGGCATCAATTATAGATAACACCTTAACCTCTCTAGAAGTTTTTCTTGTGTTACTCTATATGCAACAGAGAAATAAGCTAAGTTCCCGATTTGGTTTACATATACTAATCCCATAAAAAATTAAACATATTTGATTGAACCACTGCAATGATACAATACAGAAGAGTACTATGGGCCAGATCTATGCAATCATCTATTCTCATTAGCAAAGGATGCATAATGTGAAAACTTCAAAGCTAAGATGACAACCATATAAATTTAATACACAAAAATTTAAATGTTTAATGTTTTAAACATTAAAATGCAATAAGCAGATACTTTTATGTTTTATAATGCTGCACAACTTTAAAACTCCTTTGTGCAAAAGATGCATGTCTTTCTGGTGGAAACATTTCAATAACCAGAAGAATCAAGAGATACTATAACCACAAATCATGCGAAGTTAACTTTTTCCTATGCTGAATTCTGAAATAAATGGCTTCTATATATGCATACATTGCAATAAAAATTATCAGCAACACTAGTGGCATGTTTGGCACTGTGGATTAGACAACGGGACAATAGAAAAACTTTGTCACGTGCCTCTTTCGTCTAATTCTGTTCAATCTAAGTACTAAATATGCCCAGTTTAATGTTTTTTCTTTAGATTTATTTCTTCAGAGAACTCCAATATTGTGTCTCTTGGAAATAATTAATAGACATACCATCGTCAGGTACCAGTTCTTGTCTGTCCTCAAGAAGTGCCATTAACCGTCTCAGGGGCTGCATTGCAGCCTCTTTGCACAATAGCCGAATATCAGAACCCGAAAATCCTCCAGTCTTTTCCACCAACAAATCATAAGGAAGTTTCTCTTCCTGAAAGTTTGATGGTAGCAATTCCTCAAACATGGCTCTTCTAGCTTCTGGTTCCGGAAGCGGTACAAGGATCTAAATCACGAGGAAAGGAAAAAAAAGGGTCAATATTATTGAGTGAAAATGGTAGAAAACCTAAACAAAATATTGAAACCGACAATTCCCTGCCATTTTTTTATTTGAATATAATGAACCAAGCTGTTAACAAAATATAATTGCGAAATACCAATAGCTTAAATTTGGAATTGGGCAAATGGCACCACATTTTTCTATGCAACACTGTATGATTTCAACAATATGAAGAACATAAGAAAAGAAAAAGAGGATTTGGTAGGATTAAATAACCGATAAACACATTTTTTAACCAGAAACTTGTCTAAGGACGATTTCTTTATTTTTCAAAGTGGAAAGTTCCAATTTAATGTCTATGTTTCGTGCCAAATGATGCATCAGCTCATATGATTAATACCCGTTTCTCAAGACGTCTGAGCATGGCCATATCTAGTTCCCAGGGTAGGTTTGTTGCTGCCAAGACAAAAACAAGTTCATCCGTCCGAGTTAAACCGTCCATCTGCAATCTAGTCCAAATCATTAGTTTTTTGAGAAAGTGCATTAAAACTGGAGTTTTAACTGTACACGCCAACACAAATTATTATGGTTGCAGAAAGATAAGCTAGACAGTTAATAATTGTTTTCTAAATTAAGATTTAACTTCAACTCAAAAAATAAGGAATGTCACAGGAGCTCCAAATTAGCCAGTGACTGGTCCACAAGTCACTCACAATAGCGGAATGCTAAAAGCTAATTTTGGAGTGTCAACAGCACTCCTCTGCATATATTCTTGCACTGTTAGGTATAATGTATCACCTGTATGAGTAACTCAGTTTTCAAGCGCCTGCTAGCTTCATGCTCACTGCGTCCTTCACCTCGTTGGCTGATAATTGCATCAATCTCATCGAGAAATATAGTTGATGGAGCATGATGCCTAGCCAGGTCAAATAATACTTTAATTAATTTCTCCGAGTCACCTGAAAAGAAACACGATTCAAAAGATTTTCTCAAAGGAAAGATGGATGCCAAGTAGTGAATCTAGTTTTCTCATAAATTGAAAAAAATAATAATAAATAAATAAATTCTAATCTTATGTCTGCTGTTACTCAATAGTTACAAATCTATGGTTTCAAGAAACTGTAGTAGAATCTCAGCAATCTTAAGGAACTACAGTTCAACTAACACAATCTAAAGAAATTTAAGATTAAAGAAAAAACAAGGAAAACAAATTATTTTTATTTTTATAGCAAAGCAGAAATGCATCCAAGGATGGCACAAAAAAATGTATTCAAACATAAGTTAAAAACAATCAGGTGATTAACAACTAAAAGTGAAATTGGCGTTAGCAGAAAAATCTAGATACAATGAATATACCATCTTTGTAAATTTCAAGCAAACTTGTAATTAAAATATTCCTGTTGGACTCGAACCCTGGGCTGTTTTAATATGTTGCCAAAATTTGTGAAGTCGTGTTTATAAAATGCGTCTCTTTAAGTGAATGCCCTACTTTGGATGTTTGACACGTGGCCTAATCATGGCCGTTGGCCTCTAATACTGGAAGCTTCTATTACTAGTGTCTCTTCATTTGGCTGGAGGCTTCACTCTTCATTTTGGTTTTCAAAAGACCTTTGGTTGAGAAGAAAAAAAAAATCTCTTGGGTTCATTAGGGTTTCTTTGTGTCTCCCAAATTTCTCATTTGAGATCTGTAATCTGAGTGATGTTTTCCCTAACGTGTCATATTCTAAGTGAATATCTGTGAGAACGAGTGTTTGGTGGAGTTAATTGATCCTTAGTGAGTTTTGTGAAGTTTCTTGGTGATTCTTTGAAGCCTTTCTGTAGTTTTAGAGAAATAAGTGTTTTGGTTCTTTATCTCTTTTGTATTGGGTCAAACTTCTGTCATTTTGTTGCCAATTTGGGCGATCTAGTGCAATCAAGCATAATCCATATTATTGGATGCTCTAGAGTATGGTAGAGAGGATTCACCACTGATGTTATAATTAATTCCTTAAGGAATAAGGCTCTAGAGATAAAAACTAAGTCCAATAATAGCCAAAATGGAGATAATCTTCTTGCTAAAGGAAAAGTTTCTAGTAAATCAAATTATCACTCTAAACCTTACAATGATAATTACAAAAATAGATTGAGTGATAAAAACAAGTCCAGAAATAAAGCAAAAGGATGTAAGTGTTATTATTGTGGGAAACAGGCCATTTTGCTAAAGACTGTTTTAAAAGGAAAAATGATCTTAAAGAAAAGAAGTTTGATGATGGGAGTAATACTTTGGTATATAATAAGACTAAAGCTAAAACTGGTTTAGTCCTTGCCAATATGGAAAAACAATTGAGTGATGAATGGATATTAGACTCGGGCTGTTCCTTCCATATGTGCCCAAATAAAAATTGTTTCCTAAACTTTGAAAAAACTAGAGGGGGCAGGTTATAATGGGAAGTAATTTACTTGTAAAGTTAAAGGAATAAGCACCATTAAACTGTTATTGGACAATGGCGATGTACTGTTCTTGAAAGGGACTAGGTACGTTCTTGACTTAAGAGGAACTTGGTGTTCTTTACATAAATATGGGTCAAGGACATATCAAAATGCTTAGGGACAATGATTTGCTCATAAGCTCGCCTAAGAGACATGGCCTCTAATTTTTAAGTGCAAAACCCTTACTTAGTCTCACTATTTCTGCAATATCTGAAAACTTGACCCTTGCAAAATTATGGCATGATAGGCTTAGCCACATTGGCAAAAATAGTCTACATTTCTTACAGTCAAAAAGAGTTTTTGGAAACAAAAATCTAGGTGATTTTGGTTCTTGTGAACAATGTATTATAGGAAAACAAGTCAAACTACCTTGTCCAAAACGAACTCATAAATCCAAACAAATCCTTGAATACCTGCATGTTAATTTATGGGGGCCTACTGCTGTGAATATTTTGTCTGTTTTAGATATTTTTTATTGATCATTGATGATTTTTCAAGAAAAAATTGGTTTTCTTGTTAAAATGTAAAGACGAGACATTTTCTGCTTTTAAATGGATGATTCAAGTTGAAAACCTAACTAATCATAAAATAAAAATCTTAAGAACAGATAATTGTTTTAGAATTCTACAATAATGAGTTCAATAATTTTTGCAAAGAACATGGTATTTCAAGATATAGAACTGTTACCTATACTCCCCAACAAAATGGTATAGCTAAAAGAATGAATAGGACTCTATTAAATAAAGATAGATGCATGTTGTTAAGTTCTAGACTGCCTAAACTGTTTTGGGGTGAAGCTGTCAAAACTGCTGCCTATCTAATGAAAAGAAGTCCTACCAAAGCCACTTTAAAGTGCTTGAATTTGTTTGGTCAGGTAACTCTGTGAATTATTCCCCCTTAAAAGTTTTTGACTATGCTGCATATGCTCATCAAGACATTGGTAAATTGGAACCAAGGTCATTTAAATGTGTTTTTCTGGGCTATGATGAAAATAAGAAAAAGCTATAGGCTGTGGGTAAAATCTGAAAGAGGTTATAGGGTCATTATTAGAAAAGACGTTGTCTTTAATGATAACTTAATGCCATTTTTATATGGAAAATGAGTGGTGACTAAAAAAGATGCTCAAATTGTGGTGGAGTCTACTCATATTAAGCAAGATACTCCTGCTCCTGAATTGGACCAAACTGTTTTTGAAGAAAATAACACACATGCAGAACCTGAAAGTGATCAAGAAACTAATCAATCTAATTTGCATGATCCTATTCCCTTGCCCCCTTGAAGAGTATCAACTTACTAGGGATAGAGAGAGAGAAGAGAGACTAGACCATCTACTAGATTTGATCCAAATGATTTTGTTTCTCTATTTACTTATCAAGAACAGTTTGAGAATGAACCAAACTCCTATTAAGAAACCATTATGTGTAAAGAAAAGAAAAATTGGATGATTGCCATGGAGGATGAAATGTCCTCACTTCATAAAAACAAAACTTGGATCCTTGTTGATAGACCAAAAGGAGACAAAAATTAATAGACTGCAAGTGGATTTATAAGGTAAAGAAAGGTGATGGGGACAGTAAAAACGTTAGGTATAAAGCCAGACTTGTAGCAAAAAGGTTTACACAAAAAGAAGGGGTTGATTATAATGAAATATTTTCTCCTATTGCAAAATACACCACATTAGAAGCTTGCTTGCGCTAACTGCTCATTTTAAATGGGAACCTGATTGACTGGATGTTAAAACTACTTTTTTGTATGGGGTATTAGATGAAACAATTTATATGAGATGACCTATTGGTTTTGAAAAAGGTAATCCTGATAATACTGTTTGTCTGTTAAAGAAATCATTGCATCGCTTGAAACAAGCACTTAGACAATGGTATAAAAGGTTTGACACCTTTGTTTTGAAACTTGGCTTCAAAAGGAGCCAATATGGTACCAACTTGTATTGTAAAGGTAATGGAGGTAAAAATTCCTTGTGCTTGGTTCTTTATGTAGATGATATGTTCTTGGCAGTTGTGATAAAATTGAGATTGATAATATTAAGTCAAAACTAAAATCTTAGTTTAACATGAAAGATCTTGGACTTGCTAGAAAGATTTTAGGGATGCAAATTTGGAGAAATAATGATAAAGATATGCTCTTCTTGAACCAATATGATTATGTGATTAAAATAAAATAAAATAAAAAAAATCAATATGCATGACAGTAAACCTATAACCTTCCCCATTGCAAATCATTTTAAATTGTCATCTGAGTGCTGTCCTATATCTGATGATGAATGTGATAGAATGTCTAAGGTTCCTTATGCAAATGCTATTGGCTTTGTAATGTACTTAATGATATGCACCAAACCTGATCTTGCCTACAGTGTCAGCATTTTAAGTAGATTTATGAGTAACCCTAGAGAAGAACATTGGAATGCATTAAAATGATTATTGAGATATCTTAAAGGTACCTCTAATTTGGGTTCAATGTTCAAGTCAAATAAAAATGGTGTTACTCTTTGAGGATATACAGAGTCAGATTTTGCTGGTGATAGGGATAATATAAGATCAACTTCATCTTATTTTTATGCATTATGTTGTACTGTAGTCAGTTGTAAGTCACAACTTCAAAAGGTTGTTTCTCTTTCTTCCACAGAAGCAGAATACATTACTGTCATCAAAGTGCTATTCACCTTAGTAAAAATCCTATATTTCATGATAGGACAAAGCATATTGATGTTAAATACCATTTTATTAGAGATATTGTTTTAAAAGGAATTTTCAAAATTGGTAAAGTCTCTACACAGTTTAATTCTTCTGATATGGGTACTAAAGTTATCCCTTTGAATAAGTTTGAGACTTGTTTGAAACTCTCATCGATTGGCTCAATGTAATGTGTCTTGCAGGTACTCTGGAGCAAACCAAAATAATATTTTGATTGTGCTCTTGGCTGCACTTGTATTCCCAAATTCTGGCAAAAAGGTGGAGAATGTTGGACTCGAACTCTAGACTATTTATGCTGCCAAAATTTGTGAAGTCATGTTATAAAATGCATCTCTTTAAGTGAATCCACACTTCGGATGTTTGACGCGTGGCCTAATCATGGTCGTTGGCCTGTAATACTGGAAGCTTCTATTTCTAGCGTCTCTATATTTGGCTGGAGGCTTCACTCTTCATTTTGGTTTTCAAAAGACCTTTGGTTGAGAGGGAAAATAATAATAATAATAATAATCTCTTGGGTTCATTAGGGTTTCTTCGTGTCTCCCAAATTTCTGATTTGAGATCTGTAATCCGAGTGATGTTTTCCCTAATGTGTCATATTCTAAGTGAATATCTGTGAGAAAGAGTGTTTAGTGGAATTAATTGATCTTTAGTGAGTTTTGTGAAGTTTCTTGGTGATTCTTTGAAGCCTTTCTGCAGTTTTAGAAAGATAAGTGTTTTGGTTCTTTATCTCTTTTGTATTGGGTCAAACTTCTGTAATTTTGTTGCCAAGTTGGGCGATCTAGTGCAACCGAGCATAATCCATATTATTGGATGCTCAACAGGGGATGTAGGCGTTAGATGTGGTCACCAAACCTCCGAAACTTAGGCCGAAATAATTCTTTGTGTTGATTCTTTAATTTTCTGCACTTTTACTTTCAGCAAATCATTTATCTTTGTGACTCGAATAGTAATATCGTGTGACCTTTGGTCCAACAATCCCCTTACTCATTCATGCCATCGCAAATGCATAACCATCTAAGGCTAAAAACAGAGTGAAAAAGGAACTGAAAAAGAATATTTCAATTAAGATTCAATCAGCCGATCAAAAGTCACACAAGGCTGTGTTTAGGAGGCATGACAAGCCAGAACACCATACCGCGCCATTTGCTGACAACTGATGATGCAGAAATGTTGAAGAATGTGGTATTGCACTCGGTTGCAACAGCTTTTGCTAGCATAGTCTGCAAATTTGGAAAATGGTTAGATTATAAGATATACCGTTTATTGATCAACGCTATATCAATTTTATTAAGCTCGTCATTGGATTTTTGACAACAGAACTTCCATGCAAGTGCTTCAAATAGGTAGTTCATCCGACCTCCTTTTACATTGTCACATTGACTAAAAGTACACTCCAAGATCCTTTTTTACTAATTTTCATCTGATCTCAGTAGTCTCATCTTACGTACTAATTTTAAATAGCTTTGTTTCAAATCGTTCCTTCCATAACTCTAATTAGAAACTGATTACCTTTTTAGTCACATTGTTGAAATCAAAGTCGTCATCAAACAGCATATATTACAGGACCCCATCCATTGATGCAACTTTAAAACATCCACACGCGTTAAAAAAATCTACTGTAGAAATTCTCCGTACTCAATTTATATCAGATATATATACAAATCAACAAGGGAATGAGCTTTTGCAGTATTCTTAGTTTAATTTATAATATTCGGATTCAAATCTTATCCAATTTGCACAAAGAAACTAAGATTAGTGAATGAGCTATTACAAAATTAATATCATAATTTTGGAGGTTATTCATCACCAATGAAGAGAGAGAGTTTTATAAAGAACAAAGAGGAGCAGATGTAGTATACAAACAACAGAAAATAAGTGAGGTAGAGTTCATACCTTCCCAGTTCCTGGGGGTCCAAATAGGAGAATACCTTTCCATGGTGTTAAAAGACCAGTGAAGTACCTAAACAAGTGGTAAGAAAAAATTTAGTTACAGTTCAATAAGAACCTAAAATTTACATTTTCCTCATCTCATGCTCTAAATTCTACATGGAAAACCCCACCACCCCGAAGACGATTGACATCTCATCTTCAAATATCATACTCAAAATTTTGACCTTTGACTAGCAATCTGAATATAAATCAATCAATTTCAACTTCTTTCCTGTAACTTTAGCATGAAATGAGGTGCTCAACGACAAAACCTACTTTGGATATTTTATGGGCATGACAACAGCTTCTTTGAGTAGCCGTTTGGCATTCTCTAACCCTTTAATGCTTTCCCATTTAACATCCGGACTACCACGAATGATATCCCTGCAAAGAACAAATCAAGACAACATCCATAGTTCTCAGTTAAAGTTTTTAAGTCAGCCAGATGAATGAAATTAACTGATCGTCTTAAGACTCTAGCCAATTGTGTCATCAATTACCTGCTTAAACTTTCTGCTAAAGTACGCATTTCAGCTGACTCAAAAGGAGGAAGTAAAGACTTTTGCCTGAAAAACGTGAACAGTAAATATCAGCAAACACATAAATAGGAAATAGATGCTACAGAAGTTATCCAATCTTGAGAAGCATAAAATATTCATGCAGTGCAGATGTTGTCACATGATGAGGTCATGGTATATTGTGCAATTTTTTGTTGTACAATATAGCAGTGAAGTACTCTATAGTAATACTATTTTGTTTCACTTGTTCTCTCCCTTCGTGAAAAAACCCATGCAATTAGCTTTTCCAGTTTGATGCTTTGCTATACCATCATCTCCAGCTCATCAATTTCTAGTGGGCGTGGGGAGAGGATAAAGTCTTGGTTCACACCCAATAGAATCAAATTGTCATTAAGAGTATTAAGTTAATATAATAAATAAAACTGTACTTCACTAAGATCGAGAAATTTCAATATCAAAACGTAGTAGCGACATATATCACTATCAGAAATGAAGAAAAAAAAGTGACCAAATTAATGCATCTACCAAGGAGAATCTCCTCCTGATTAAAACGCTTTCATCATTTCCTATAGAAAATTCCAATCAAGTCACCTAAAGATACGAATTAAAAAATGCGTATCCATATGAGCATCATTTTTGGCATGCACAAGATTTTAAGTCTGGAGCTTCCTTTTCTTTTGATAGGTGAATTTTGCAAAGTCTACTGAATTTTACCAACTGTTGTATAGGCAGCTAGAAATTGTGTCATTTCAATTTATGGTGGAAATCCTAATTCATTGTGATCATACGAACAGTAATATGCAGTTTAATGATGGCAAAATGTGGGTTGGCAGCTCTTTTGATAGCATGAAAGAGACCACTAAATCAACATAAAGTATGTATTAATTATTTCATTAAGCAGCATTTTTGAAACTCAAAGAAATGGCATTAATATTGATAAGTACTAAAAAGGGAATAGAAGTCCTGTAAATCATACGGTTTTTCATCAACTCCAGCAGAAGAAACTTCATTGTTGTGTGTTGATGCTCCTCGATCCTTGAGCACAACAATTAAAAAATGTCACTTAGCACCACAAAACAATCACACTCACTGCCTTAGATGAATCAAAAACAGAGTACCTGATTACGATACTGCTCGTAGATGGACAACTCAGATGAGTTCTTCACATGCACAGTCCCATTTGATGTAACATTGGAAAAATTTCCATTACGAACACTTTCGTCATTTGTATCCGCATCTTTCTCCTTGGAGTCTCTCTTCCTCCCAAACTTCATATCATAAAACAACTTGAATTCCTAAATGTAAAGCAAAATGAAATTCTATATAAATAAGCATATTCCTAATACCAATTAAATAACTTTCAACAATTCAATTAAAAATGATATAACTCCAAAGGTCATAAAGTATCTGACTACCTATATATCCCTATTAAAAACAAATCGACAGACCAGATTATAAGGGGAAGTGCAGTTTTCTTCCTTGAAGTGTAATGTACGGCTAATGGAAGCTGTACCCTATGCTGAAATTAATAGAAAGTCAACATTCATCCATCATTTAACCATCAATGCAGGTGAAGACAGAAAAGAAATTCACTCCAATGGCTACAAACTTTAGGGAATGATTGCAACCCAGAAGAGCAAGGAGCAAGCATTGGAGTTCGAGGCACAATGCAAGTTTTTAACCTACGCTAGTACCTTGTTCTTCTTTAATTATACCTTGATATACGAAAATGTCAGTATGTACTATATATAAACCACAAGAATTTTTCGTGTAATTGAACTCTTTTACACGCGCGCGAGATTTAACCACCAATACAAGTAAAAACACAAAATAAAGTAAATCTAATGGTCAATAACTTTATCGAATCATAATGCCGTCACAGTTTTCATCCCAATCGTTGAAGTTCAAAGCACAAGTTATCAGATGATCTAACCTCCTCTGGTACCTTGTGCAACTTTAATTATACCTTGATCTACGAAAATGCCACTAGATACTCGAATGCATATACAAACATCACTCCGATTCAGCGTTATTAACCTCTAATACATAAATAAAATGTATTCATACACATACCAGAGATATAAAAAGAAATCAAGCACCTGAAAAGACCAGCGGGTCGGCAAAGGCTCGTCTGACATTTGAAAAATCGCTTACACACACGCGCACACAGAGAGCGATGTGTGCATCCAAATCTTGGGTCGTCACACTCTAGATAGATAGAGACTGAGCACGTGCTTTATTTAAGGGAGACTGAACACAGGGGTAGAAAGAAATTATTAGGCGAGATCTTATACGCGGGTGCAGGAGTGACTGGAATCTTTGGTGAGTACCGAGTAGACGTGCGATGGAGAACACAAGAATAAACAAGAGAGGGGTTGACAGAATTGTGAATTGTGTCAGTGTCGCTCAACATCAGTTAAATTCATTTCTCGTTATATTGTCCGTAAAACAAATTTTGACGTGTTATTTTCAGTTTTTCTTGTGGCCTATGTTTGTCTCTAGCGTTGTGCAATACTATTTAGTCTCGCTAGAACTATTACTCCAATTCATGTAGCGTTAATGTGACATTATTTCACGTCTCACTTAACTTATCCTTTAATGCAATATTAGCATCAAATAGATTGAAATTATAACATTGGCAAAGCTAAATAGCATCACTCTTGTATAATTGTACAATTCATCTCTCATAATAAAAATTATATAAATGTCTAAAAGTCATCGTGCTACTCTCAAATCTTCAATTTTTGAAGCTGCATATTAGTTTCAAACTTGAACTCGTCAATAGATATATGACGTGAGGATATTTTTAAGAGGATCATGTGATGAATTAATAGAAACTTGTACACTTTAATCATTGGGACTAATTGTTCAAAAGGGATTATGCATAAAGTTTGTGTATTGCATCTCGTTTTTGTACTACTTCTGCATAGATAAATATTAGTTCAAAGTTCCAATGAGATTCGACATGTTCTACCCAATAAAAAATTTATTAATTCATCAAGTATTTCTCAATATTCATCCTCACTTTGTTGTTGAATATTTCAAAAAGACCATATTTAAAATGGATGCATAATAAGCTAAAAATCTCAACATGATCGTTGACGTCTGAATTTGGTGGAACACAACATCTACGCACCTCAACTCTTCTTCCATCCATGCATAGTAGCATGTATACTTGGACAAATATGTTAAAGGCAGAGTGTTGCTCCAATAGGGGATGTGATGATCATATGCACTTCGATGTTTCAAGTCAAATAAATAGACAGAAATTTGGGTGTACGAAAAGACAAAAAATAGGGAGTCAAGACTAGGATTGAACTAGTGAAAGATTCAAGATTCAATTCAAGTTTACATCAAATAGCATAAAGTGCGGGTAACTTATAGGTCAAAGAGATGCAAGTGAGGCTTGTTGAAGCTTGAAACGTTGCTTCAAGTCAATGGTTCACATGTTAAGCTCAATGGTTCTATAGTAGTTTTCATAGGTTTGTGACCTCTCACATCCTTTCTTAAGCGGATCAATATGTACGTGACTACAAGTCGCCTTTACATGTCGCATCAACCATATCACGTGTGGCTCGAGTTTTCAAAGATTTCAACTTGCTCAAGGTGTTAGGAGGTCAAACCTCTTCACACTCAAGAGGCCCACATGCGATGGCTAAGGGTTGAGTCCTTCTTGGGTGCCTTGGGGTAGCAAGGTGACTTGGCCGGTAAGAGTTGTGTCGCCTCAGTGTCGCCTCAGAGAGGCATTGGGCTGTGCTCTGGTGTCTCAAAAGATAGTAGATATCGCCTCGGACAAGTAAATAGGAGAGGCGGTTCTACACATTCATTTCGAATGGTGAGGTAGTGCATGACGGAGCAAAGTTGGTAGCTAGTATTTTGCTTAATTGACGATCTTATTGTTTGCCAAGTAAGAATATGCATAACAATGATAATTTATGTGTGTTGAACTTTTTTAGTTACACTCTGATTAATCCTATTACAATGGAATAATGTTATTTAGTAACATTGGTACTGAAACGCTAGTCTATGTGACATGTAGGTGACATTAAATGATAAGTCTAATTAATAGTTTGTTTGAACACCATTGTTTTGTAATATTGCGTTTTAGAATAATTCTATTAAAATAGAATAATGTTATCTAGTAACATTGGTACTGAAACACTAATTTATGTGACATGTAGGTGACATTAAATTATAAGTCTAATTAATAGCTTGCTTGAACCCCCATTGTTTTGTAATAATGCATTTTAGAATAGTAGATTGACGGAGAATGTGTAGTTAAAAATAAGGAGACATTTTGGATTTACGTGTAATATTATTTTATTAAAGAATGTGTAGTTGAAAAAAAGCCGGAGAAAAATGTATTTTTCAAAGAATAAGGATCAAACAATGGCTAAATGTGTTGTGATGAGATTTATTTAATTGAATTTATCCTGTATTGTCATCTAAGCGGGTGATTAGCACTGTCAGTGATGAAAAGCATTACTCATAAAAATATGTCCAAAATTTTTTGAGTTCTACCCTACTCGACCATTAATTTATTCCTAACTACTCTGATAATAATATTAAAAATCAGCAATTGGATCACAATTGCATCTGAGCATGTGCAAAAACCAATTCAACCACCTAACCCTAGGTCAGAAATATTGGCTATGGTTTAAAAGCGGGTTGTCTTAATATTTGGCTTCCGATATCAACCAAATATTTGTATTTAGATCTTAAATACATATGAAAATAAAATGTTAAATTTGTTATTTGTATACTGATTTTTGACACTTTGGTTGACACTTGCATTATTGTCAAGTATCAATTGAATGGAAAAATTGTTTGAAATTTAAACTATCTAATAGATTAATGACACGTGACAAAGTGTAAAATAAAGTGTACACTATAGTGTACATGTAGCAAGATTCATTTTAGAAACATAGAGTAGGCTTAAGAAGGATTTATAAATGGTTTAAATTATAAATAAATAGTGGCTAAATGAAAAATAATTGTAGATATCTCGTAATGTAAAAAGAAAAAATGACTTGAGTTTTTAATAAATTACATTATCCCCCCGTTTGTTGGAGATTAAAATCATTTTTTAAATATATTTTGATAAATGTTGATGAAAATATGATTGAAAAGTTGTAGTCTCATAAAATATGTTTTTAAAATTAATTGTTGATTTTGATATAGATTAAAATTTAGAATTTAATCCCTACTAGACAGGGGTTATGTATAAGGAAAAATATTACAAGTTTGTTTGAGCCCATTTTTCTTTAATAATGCATTTTAGAATATTAGATTGATGAAACTGTGTGGTTAAAAAATATGAAATTTTTTTGAATTTGCGTGTAATATAAAAGAATAGAAAGAAAAATATCTTTTAGAAATAATAGGAAACAAACAAGAGCTACATATTCAAATACTATTTGTAAATTTTTTGGATACAAATTCGACTGATGATGCTTCCAAGGTTGTTAGCCAATTTAAAATATCAAGAAACGACATATTGTTGAGGAACTGAGAGGGATTTTTTAGCATACGATAAGTAATTAAGAGAGAGAGTTTAGTCTTACTCTAGACCGTTCAAGCCTCCTCAATTGATTGGATAGCTAAGGCCCGAGAAAAATAATATTTTTCGGTACAAGTTCCACAACAATAGATAAAGCTAGGTTTATTAGACATATATGTTCCCGACTGTGCTACATGTATACAATAATTTACATATACATGATATGATCAAATATGATTGAATCATAATTTTTTCAACTAAAAATAAAAAAATAAATAAAAATATCCACTTTCTTTTTTTGACACATCATTTGTACGTAAATTATTATGTAACTTCTTATACACATGTAGCATTATTCTATGTTCGTTGCCTTCTAAACATGATAGGAGTCTTTGAGCTCACATTGCTTAAGATCATCAATCCCACCAACTATTTATCATGTATAGATGAATTAAATAAGATGTATAATAATATGGGTCTTTGGTCTCGTATTTAATTGGACTTGTAATTTAAAGTCATTCAATTGTTACATAAGATGACAATATATCTTCCACTTATTTTAAAAGAAAGGATCCAATTGTACTGTTCATATCTGAGCTATAGTGTTCACATGAAGTTGGATTCGAATTGGTTCACATTGTTCTTCATTAAAAATGGTTACAGTATGCCTATAATAATTGTACTGGTTGGCTAAATTTTCTACATTGTATTTCAGATGACAAGTTTCAATCAAACTCTATTCTCCACTCCTCTTGCAAAATTCTCCCCCTATTCTCTTCTTGTAAAATTCGGAAAACCCTCGCAAATCTCTACACAAAATCTCAGTTCTAATTGTGAAATCGAAATCTTCAGAAGACTATTTAACTTTTTGCCTCTATTATTGTTCGAAGATCTTTCGTTCTGCCATCAATCGTTTGTTCTGTTGTTCTTTGCTTTGTTCGAATCTATATTAAAATTTTATACAAACGAGGGGATATTTTACAGAGAGTATACCATGATACCTTTAAGGATCTTTTATCTCTTGCCTTTTGTTGTGTAAATTTATTCGATTTCTCTATTTCTATCTCTATTCGGTCGATCTCTTCTTTGTGTTTAGAGTTTTCTAAATTGCAGTGAAATTTTTTGTCATCCCCATCTTTTACTTTTGTCTTGTATATTTGTTCCGACTTTTAGATCTATATTTGGTCGATTATTTTTTTTATTTTTTTATTTTTTGTTGATGGTTTACGAACTTTGAGTGAGTTTTATATTTTTTTTCCATCTCTCGTTTCTACTTTTGAATGCTAGTTCCTCTATTATTGTTCGAAGATCTTTCTTTCTGTCGTTAATCGTTCATTCTGTCGCTCCTTGCTTCGTTCAAATCTATGTTGAAAATTTACAAACGAGGGAAAATTATTTAGAGAAAGTATACCGTGATTCCTCTAAAGATCTTTATCTCTCTCCTTTTGTTGTGTAAGTTTCTTCGATTCTCTATTTCTATTTCTATTCGGTTGATCTCTTCTTTGTGTTTAGGGTTTTTTAAATTGCAGTGAGATTTTTTGTCATCTCCATCTTTTACTTTTGTTTTGTATATTTGTTCTGACTTTTAGACCTATATCTGGTCGATTATTATTATTATTATTATTATTATTATTATTATTATTATTATTATTATTATTATTATTATTATTATTTTGTGTTGAGGGTTTACGAACTCTGAGCGAGTTTTATATTTTTTTCCATCTCTTTGTTTCTACTTATGTATGTTTGTTATACTTTTCCTTACCTTTATTTTTTTTTTTTTTTTTTTTAGTTCTTTTTTTTTTTTTTTTGATTTTTCTAATTTGAAGTAAAATTTAATGTTTATCCAATTCC